TTCGATCTGAGTCTTCTCGCATGATTGTTTCTTCGCAGAGCTATTGCCGAACGTCTGGATTGTTAGTTGGTGCTGACCAGTTCTTGAAAGTCCTAGGTGATTTGCGAAGTCGTTCGTGATGAACGACCGATTTGCGCCTGTTTCCAGCATGATATAAACGTCTTCGAACTCCTGCGTTCTGACGTTCCAGACTCTAGCTTGTCCAACGAGGAGGTCCTCTGAATCCTCTTCTGTACGTTTGGCTTGCTGCTGGTGTTGTCTGGTTTGGTCGTTGTTTTGACTAAACGTTGAGCTTCTTTCGGCGTTTGTTGCTACGGTGTTTTGCTTTGTTGCCGTTCTCTTTGACACATTTCCTTCTGAATAAGTCTTCTGTGAGGCATATTTCGCAGATTGTACGGTTGACGGTTGCGATTTGAAGGATTCCTGACAGATGGATGTGTGATGACCCTTCAGAGGTTTCTTTTCCTGATTTCCTGCTATCGCTGATCAATTGAAGGATACCTCGGGCAGAATCTTGGTGCATGACCGGTTTCGTTGCAGTAGAAGCAAGGGAAAGTCCTGTTTGGGTTGTTACCGAGTTTGGTTGCTCAGTTTCTGACGGAGCGCTAAGGTTGAATTCTTCGTTTTGTGTATGTTTTCGATCTCAGCTTCCATCTCGAAGAAATCTTGAAGGTCTTGAAGTAGCTGCTTGGTTGACCACCTTAGTCCTTGAGCGGACCTTTTCGAGCATGGACCGCTGGATTTTATCGCAGAACTTCTTCAATATAGTGCGTCGTAACTGTTGCGTCTCAATGTTTTCTCCCTTCCTCTCCAGTTGAGAAATGATTGCAAGTATTTTGTCCAGTGCGTTCATTTGGTCGGTAATTGTCGTGCTTGCCGGTTGTATGTCTTGCAACTCTTGAAGCAGATGGTTCACAACTGCTTCCTGATTGTCGACCTTTTTCATGAGGAGTTGGATGGCAACGTCATAGTTGTCTGCTGTGACTTGGAGCTTGCTGACCGTGTCTTTTGCGGGCCCTACGAGGGCTTCCAGCAGGTAACTCAGCTTCTCTGTCTTGCTGAGATTCCTTCAGTGGACAACGGCTTCGAAAACTCCCCAAAAGGATCCCACTTCCACAGTCGCCCGTCGAATCTGGGGATGTGGAGTGGTGCGAGACGTGGTTTGACCGTTTCTTCCGAGATAGGGGAAGACATTGGTGCATCCGCATTTTGCTCTAAGATGAGACAGAGCTCGGTCAGCCGATTCTGACCTCTTAGGTGTGTGGCTTGGGCGCTATCAATGTCCTGCTCGATTTTGGTCATCTGGTTTTCATCTGGTGGTGGCTGGAGCTCGCCGGCCGCTTCGATATAGTTGTCCAAAGCTTGTTGCAAGTTTGCCATATTGATCTCTAACTCATGACGTTCTGTCATGATTGCTTACAGCGTGCTTTTCGAGTGTTTCCCTCAGCACCGCGTTCATTCGAGTGAGCGAGGACTGCTTGCCGCTAAGTCTGACAGCCAACTTGTGTGCGAAGTTGACCAGGAGGTCCAACAACAAACAACAACAATCAGAAGAAGTGACTGTTGGTCAAGGAAGTTTGGACTCAGATGGCTAAGAACATACGGTTCGGCCGATGCACCAACAATGTAGAGATACACAGTTGCTGGATGTCCGAACTGATTTGATGGCGGTTCAGTGGTTCAGTGATATAGCATATGTAGTGAAGAACGTCGTAGTTGACAACTTTATTGATGCCAACGCCGATCCAATGAGATGAGAAGTGAAGAAAAGCAAAGTGAAGTGAACCCTACTGCCTGAGAGGGTTCTTATACCCTGATTGTTTTGGTGCGTAATCAAAACAACCCTAGATCACTTATCACAAGCAACACAATAGAATGAAGTACGATTCAGAAACATCTTTCGGTCTAATATCGATGATCGATGAATCGATATAGCAACGATCCGGCAAAAACATTGCTACATTTATTGATGGAGCCAGCTAAACTATGGCAAAGATTACACATGATTTTTTGGCGAAATCCGAGGAGGAGAAAATGGCTGATAATAGTTGGTGCTAAGTCTATGTGGCCGGGAATAGTGCGTATGGGACTGACTACGGCAGAACATACGATAGAGAAACTGAGAATGATTTTTGCCTACACGGTTCGCAGGAGCAAATGGTACCGGATAATGGACCGCCCTTTTCATCGGCTCGATTTAAGAAATCCTGACAAGAAAGGAGTATAGAACTAACGCTAACCTCACCATACCACCCCAATTCAAATAGAGAGGCGGAGCGATTCGTTCAGACACTCAAAAAGGGATGGTGCAAATGGAAAAAAGCCAGGAAATATGTCAGCAAGATTTCTTTTTGAATATTGAGTTACCCCGCACCAGCCACCGGGAAGTCGCTGGAGAATAAATGGGGAGAGAGTTGAGGACCACGTTGGATATCCTTAAAACAGGGGAAGATGCACTGTGCAACACTAGCTACAGAGAGCAATGAAAGCTGATTATGGTAGAAAAGGTAGAGTAAAAAGGAACTTAATTGAGTGGCAACAGGTAGCCGGGAACCCGAAGGCATATGCCCAACTAAAAGAGAGAGCAAAGCCAAAGGAGGATAGTGCCTTGGTGACTAGAGGAAGAACAGGACAAGAGCACAAGAGCAAGACTTACCGCAGAGAAGGTCAAGTCGAACATCCAAACTCACGTCTCGGATGAGGAGTTACGTGAAAATTCGGGGAAAGCCTGTGAGGATGAAAGGCAGCGTGAATGTGGTTGACGTGGCAAACCACGTGAATAACAGAACGAGTATAAAAGGCGGGAAGCATTCAGATCGGTCATTTACGTGGACATACGTACCCGTCAGTGGACTGCTATATTCTGCCCAGCCCCTAAATGAACCGCCGTATCAGGGACAAGCGAGGGAAGTTCTTCTCTTAACTGCGGGTCTGGTGCTGTCAAGAGAGATATGGTGTTCAGAGTGTTACACGCACGATGGAAGCGGGGTGCGAGAATGTTGACCCCGTCGTACCGTGGCTGAATCCGTGGGCGAGGTGGTCGACATCCACGCAGAGCTGAGAAGGGAACTCAACGGGGTTCACTTATTGTGTGCCCAATTGATGACCCGTTTGAAGGAAGGACCTCCGCGCCACAGCGTGGAAGAGGAGAGCTCCAAAGTTGACTGATTGATTCGGTAATGAGTCATGATAAGTGGGAGAATTAAACGAAAATAATAATAAATGTATTTGTCTGAAAGTGTGAAAACAGGAAAATTCCCGAGCTGGGCACTGATAAGGGAAAGTTAGCGAGTGACTCCGTCGCTTGGTTGAAGATTTAGGGGTGAACGATTGTTTGGGTAGACTGTCTTATCCCTGATACGCCCCGAAAGTCTCACCAGGTTGGCGACAGCTTATATTGAAGAAGTAGCTACGAAATGGATGCATAAAAATGTTAAGAAGGAATCACAATCACACCACTACATCAACTCCCAAACAATGATAATTAGTTCCATCCGAGTGTTCGTCACATCTCGAATAAATCTTCCTAATATCTCATGAAAATCGAACGACTGCCTGCGGCTCACCGACGCAACAGTGGCGATCAGGATCAATGACAGACATCATGATCGGCGACAATGACGGAGCAGCAGTTCCAGCAGCTCCTGATGGCGCTCACGGACGCTCTGAAAGGGTCCGCTCAGCAGCAGGTGCCGAAATCGACCTCGCAGGCAGTGGAATCGAACGGAAGTTTCGATGTAATAGCAAGGCGAATTGCGGGGATCAGCTTTTACAACGACGTTGACCTGACAATCGAAGCATGGTACCAACGGCATCAAGACATTTGCTAACGCTCAGATGCTCGACGAGTCAACTCGTGTTCGACTACTTCTCCACAAGCTAGATGCTACAGCTTACGACAAGTACTCCAACTACATATATTCTGCCCAAGACATAACGAGAAGTCATATCGTTTCAACACTCATAAGCTTGTTCTGACTTGATGTTTTATTAACTGCTGCCCTTTCGCCGCAGTCTCACAGTCTCACTTTCGCCGTCCGAAAGTCTCACCAGGTTGGCGATTTATGGACAAAATGTCTGTCTCGAACGGGACTCGAACCTGTACTTGGGTTTTCCGTGCACCATGCTCTGTCATCTGCATAATCAAGATCCCGCTTGCGCTTGCCCTCTCAATGGCTATAAGCTGTAAGTGATGATGAGCTATGGCATACAAGCCATCGGGAAGGTGATGGCAAGCGGGGTCTCAGTAGTATGGGATAAAGCGGCAGAACAAGTACAGGTCTGAGTAACCTCTGAGATTGTAGTTTTGTTCATAAATCTCCAAACTCGTGAGACTCATAAGCCTCTTCGAAACACAACAGTCGTTATTTAGTCGCCGCTATGCCTGTATGAAGTTGTCCAAAGTCTCCAACACGACCTCGTCAGTTGCATTGGGCGCATCACCCGTGAGTATGCTAAGTTCAGACTAACAAATTGCGGCGAGAATTAATTCAAAGGCCTGATCTTCGTAAGCGGTCTACAATCCGGCAACGACGACTTCAGTCACTTGAAATTATTAGACAAAAACGAGGTACATCCGAATTGCTCCGTCCAGTCTCTCACAAAGGAGTGCAAGCACCCTACGAACTTGAAGTTTGGCATGAAAATGGTGAAGTTTAGACACCTGGCGTACATGCAGTCAAGGACTCGTCTACTGAACGGCGACAACCGCTCCAGAAAAACGCCAAAAAGCTTCATCCACCGAGCTGACGCTCTACTCTTAGCCTCTGACACGAGACGGCAGAGTGCACAGAGACCGCGCTAGAGCGCAAAGATGGTTTGATGCCCAGCGTTTTCCACGAGATAATCATCACGCCAACTCCGGATGTCCTCCCCTAGCGCAGTCTCTATGCACTCTGCGGTCTGATGTCAGAGGCGCAGAGCACAAAAGGGCGTTGGCACCCCCTCCGCTGACACAACATTGGTCTGGGGGCGGGGAATCCGGACGATCCGGTAATGGCGCTCCTCCTAGCTGTTGAGTTTTTGGAAACGATAGCGTCCCCCCTGTTTCCCTTAAGAGCCACTGAATATTTCTGAAGGGAGAACTCAGACACCATTTTTATCGTGAACTGTGTCTTTGAATCCGTGAACAAATTTCTACTGACTTAATTGTCGCTTGGCAAGCACACCCGATACACCTAAAGGACATCTGCTTTCCACTAATCGATCTCAATGAGGATTTTTGGGAAAGGAAATTAGTAAAGAATTTAAATTTGTACAGTCACCATAAGGATCGCCATATCGACTTTATCTTTCATTATCCATCAAAAACGGGGTACCCAAAAATTATCATGAACTGTGACTTTAGTAAATTTCAATCAAATGGCTGTGGTTCTGATTTCATGCTTTTACCACTGTATGGTTTGTCGCTTGTCATTGTTACAAGTCTTTCAGTTACAGAGCATCCAGTAATAGGCCCCCCCCCCCTCTCCCTCCATTGTAGGATTTGAAATACCGAGTACACTTTGTGTTTGGGTGACATCAAAACAACGCTCTTTGATTACGAAGAGAGAATTTTATCACTGCGAGTTCTTCTAGCTTAACTGTTAATTATGTGTTCATGAAATAAAGGATAAAGTCGTATGGCTTCATCCAATCCTGTCTGAGAGATGTGCCCCGCATTCAACTTCAATTGAGAATCGTAGTGGTGGATTGAATGCTTATGTGGCCTATACAATGAATTGCGGTGGCCAGCCGATGTACAAGTGCTTTTATCCTTCCAGACGATTCTGGTACCAATTCACCTACCCCGGAGGGATGGAAGGCTTGGTTGGCCTATTCGGGCATCGATCCGGGATTTGAATCCGTGACCATGCGTGTGTGGTAGTGCGCCACTTGCCACTACACCACTTCCACCTGTGTTCATGAAAAAGCAGTACAGTAATCTAGTGACGAAATATGTCTGCTTCCGAATGATGCAAGTCATGGCTCCATTGGCTATGAAAACTCACTTGTTCACCATTTCATGATTCTCGTCTGATTAGTATAAGTAGGGTGTATGTGTGAATAAATGGATGAATGGAAATATGAATGGTTCAGGCAAGGTTTTAAGGTAACGATTATAGCCGGTATTTGGTTCGGTTCAATGGCCTCTAGACGATCACTTTTCGCCTCATAAAGATTACTATTTGATACTGTCATCCGTGCCAGCTTCATGATCCTGTTCCCAATATGATTACGATACGGTGGGGAGTACAACAGTGATATAGCATATTGCTCAATAGGAAAAGCATTTGCTTTTTGCAATTCAGTTGTTCATTTGCAAGTCATATGTACATGATGTATCATTTTGCTGTGAGGAATATATTGATGTTTAATTTCACTGTGTTGATTTTATCGCATATTGCATAGACTTTTCATGAAGTATTAAATTGTATTCATGCTACAAGTCCTTGTTCTTTGATCTCCAGCCATACTCCATACAGCAAGCAGTGGCTCAGGACTTTCCTTGACTTCTGTGGGGAGGCAAACAGACACGAGAAAAAACCCTAAGTCGGAAAGGGTCTACTCAACCCAGTCAAAAACGGATTAAAGTTGAGCAGCAGCAATGTGAATGAAGTAGGCAACTTTCAATTGATAAAACTGCCGTTAGGGACAAAAATATCGTGAAGGTCTTTGACAGTGATGCAGTTCTTACAGTTCATTTTCTAGTCAGTTTTGGTCTCTAGTCAGTCGTAGCCACTTTCGATCTCAACCCTCGAAGATCCGGTGAAAAGGAACTGAAGATTTCATGGTTATTCCTCAACAGTCAGGAGCATTTCTATTCAGTTGACAGTCGCCGACATGTGAAAGAGGATTTTATCGGCTTGGCGTTGAAACCTTGATCTCTGGAGAATATTGTGTCAGAACGTTGGAACGTTAGACTATTGAATTTTTCCATCTAAAACACAGGAATATTATTATCACAAACATTTTTCCTATTGGCTGGCGTGCGTCAACTATTAGTTAAGTCTTGTAACAGCTTATGGTGCTTGCTGCTGCTTCAGAGCATGACCTTTTACGTGCCTCTCTTCCTTACAATGGCTTATTTTTGCGACATCGCCATGTTTTTTTTAGTTCAAGATGTGTGGTGTAATCACAAGCAATCACTTAATCCACATAACTACGATGACCATTCAATTTCCCTTATGTCGTCTTGAACAATCACATTAGAACACTTTCAACGATCAATGACAATTTCAAAATCGACATCATGGTTTTGAAAGTGACATGAAATCTACATTCATTTCTCAAATGGATGCAGTGGCACCATATGAGCACCGGTTTTTTTCTGCTCCAAACTTTCCTAAAGTTTGTAAGTCAGGCCCAGAAGGGGTAGCGAGTAGTTGAGGAAAGGCATTAATAGCGTTGGATAAGCTCTGCGATTGCTGGGTGTTACCACCTTCTTCTTTGACATCCACCTTGGCATAAATCACATCACAACGGAACTACAGCTCTGAGATGGTCCAGGGTACAATATTAGAAACTAAATATCTTCATAGGGACTTCTATTAGCAATCTCGTATTTTTAACTCTTTCTGCTTGCTTTGCTTGGTTTACAAAGAAATGAGGGTACTATTCTACAATTACACCACCAAAAACTCAAAATTTTAATTCTCGATGAAACTTCGCCTATAGGGGCAATCCGATGCCCTGATAACGAATATGACCTTTACTTTTAGCGCTGGCGCCATTTGGCGCCAATTGGCGCCAAGGGTGTTTTCAAGAAATTTGCTGAAAAGTTGCGTTTAGGGGTTATTTGAGGTCCTGATAACGGATATAACATTCATTTTTGGCGCTGGCGCCATTTGGCTCCGATTGGCGCCAATTTGGCGCCAACTGGAGCCAAATGGCGCCAACGCCAAAAATGAAGGTCATATTCGTCATCGGGGCATCGGATTATCCCTATAGGCAAAGTTCCATCGAAAATTGAAATTTTGAGTTTCTGGGGGTGTAACAGTAGACTAGTTCTTCGTGTGTAATAGTAGAATAGTACCGAAATGAGTGCTGTACTTTATCGTATTCATTCTATAACCTTTTCTAAGTTTGATATGATTCCCTTCAAACCCCAATCCATGCCGCCTAACATTCTTTGCTCGTTTATACACTCCATATGCACGATAGAATACCTTTAAAACTTTATGAATATATGCCATATTCCAAAGCAAAAAGCCCGGAGCAGAAAGGTTTTCATTGAGCTTTTTTGAATTTTTTTATTTTTTCTATTTATCATTAATTATTTTTCATTTTATTTGTCGCATCCCATTTTTTTAACAGCCACTTACAAAGCAGGCGAAAAGGCGGGTGCTATTATAAACTGAGGGGCGTCTGCGAACTCCTCGGACGAGTTTCACCGGCATAGTAGAGTCTGCACCGATCACAAGGGAACTCATGTAGGAAGTTCAAACAACTTGTCATGACCCATAGCGACAGTAAAAGGTAGTTCTGCACAGTTCTGGGTAACGGAACTTCTCCCCTATCGCGGCATTCTCCCTTGCGGCATGCGGTAAAAGTCACTGCAATTACCGTACTCACCCCGCCTCCCGAAAATCGATAGGACGCGATATTTTTCCTTGACTGGCTTGCTTTTTCATTGGATTTTATCGTTTTTCTTCTGTTTCTTTTTAGTTTTCATGTTTATTAGACTTGATTAATTAGGATGACTCTTCCTATATTTGAGACGATCAAGACCGCAGTGGAATTGAAGAGAGCGGCCAGCCAATTCAAATAATTAAAGGCCTCCCTTCCACACAAATTGCGCGCTCCAATCTTCCATCGCAATCCTGCGATAGGCGGCGGGTGCGACGTATGCGACGCCGTGTTAGGGGAGAAGTTCCCGGACCCGNTCCTATATTTGAGACGATCAAGACCGCAGTGGAATTGAAGAGAGCGGCCAGCCAATTCAAATAATTAAAGGCCTCCCTTCCACACAAATTGCGCGCTCCAATCTTCCATCGCAATCCTGCGATAGGCGGCGGGTGCGACGTATGCGACGCCGTGTTAGGGGAGAAGTTCCCGGACCCGCACAGTTCTGGTTCAATGGCATCTTTCATAGTCCACGACCGGTCGCGCGACTGGTCGCGGACCCATCTCACGAGCGACCGGCGACCGATCGCGCGACTGGTCGCCGGTCGCTAGCGACTGGTCGCTCGACTGGTCACTCGACTGATCGCGCCACTGGTCGCTCGATCGGTCGAGGAGGCCGCGCTAGTTATGGGTGCCGCCGCCGACGTTCCCGCGCGATCAGTCGAGCGACCAGTCGCGCGATCGGTACGCGACCGATCGTGGACTATGCCTGCAGTGGCTCTTTGCACAATTGCAACAACTGAAATCTCGTCCGATAACCCAAGGTAGTTCTGCACAGTTCTGGTTTAATGCAGTCGGCTCTTTGCACAATTGCAACAACTGAAATCTCGTACGATAACCCACGTTATTTCCGTCATGGTAATCTCGTCCAACCTCTGTTTTTCCTAATTTCAGTCATATTTTTCTCCTAATCGGCGAATTCTCTCGCTTTCATCACTAAATGATCTATTCCCAACCTATCGCTTTTCAAATAGAAAGGGGTACCTCAAAATTATCATGAACTGTGCCTTTAAGTAGACGACAACATGCCTTGAACAAGAGAGATTTTCAGTGCTTAACAACATAGAATTGAAAGTAGACAAGAATAGTAAACGAAGAATTGAGCCACCAGCGTCGAACATGTGTTAGTCACGTCACACGAAGGGAATTTTCACCACTTTCGCCTTTTGTGAAGGTAAAGTGGAACGATTACCTTCATGGTGCCCTCGAGTCCACTAACAGAAGCATTCATGATGATGAATGGAACCACTCCAGTTTCCACTGCTTGCTCATCACATGGTTTACCCTTTCGGAATTCCAATCTCGCGTACAGAAGAATTCCTTCTTCACCAATTTGCCATTCATTCCCTACTGAAGTTGACCATGAAATGCAGTGTGATGCAAAATATTTCTTTGACACAACTTCATAAAGAGCTATGTGACATTTGGTGAAAAGGCGTGGCACAGCGGTGAAAGAGTGGGTGGTGACGAAAACTGACTGCACATTTTCTGCTTACTTGGAACCTTTTCAGATAACCACTGATGAAGGGCATTTCCATTTGGAATCATCCAGGTATTAACGACCAAATTTTTCATTTCAAACTCCATTCAGAGAATCGTTCTGAAAATATGAAGAGCAGACTTGATATCAACATTCGACCCTTCGACTCGGAATCATTCCCTGGTTAGCATAATATGCTTGGGCTTGCTCCAACTCGTAAACGCATCAGTCGTCAGTGGCAGCAATTGATTTGTGAGTCTCCAACAGCCGTTCGACAATGAGGGCCCTCGCCAAAACTAATTGTAAAACCTCTACCAATCGAGGAAGCTACTCGCTTCCAAAACCAACATTGATCATAGGATATAGAAACATATATTTTTTAAACTTAAAACAACGGTTAATTATTGAATCACAGTAAGCTTGAAAGGCATGTAAGCTACACATTACGGAGAGATCTCCAAAAGTATGGGTTTTGTTGGAATCGTCGTTGAAAATTGTTGTACCACTCCTGTAGCGCAGTAACAGGGATATAGTCAGCAAATCCTAAAGCACAGAAATGAAATCCATGCAAACTCTGAGCGTGGGACAGTATCACTACTTTTGGTGAACCTTCCACGATCCTCACCCTGTCCATCCGGCCTAGACAATCGTGTTGTATAAGATTCAGCATGATTCACCAAGTTACGGAGCAGGGTTTCCGCGAATTCGCTCAGCGTTGACTGTAAGAATGGGTATGGGATACAATAGTAACTCGTTAAATTGAAAAGTAATCAATACCTGCTGACTGATTTGAGTTCCTTCAGCAGCTTCTCTTCCTTCAATAGCCGCGAGTGGTTCCACCATTATTCCTATTTGTACTGATCCCATCGCTCCACCTCCGCTCATACCTCCACTGAATACACCAGTGTGACGCACTTCAGACAAGTGAAGCTATAAAATAAGGGCTTCCCTGACATGAACGACAAGTGGTAGTTCACTTAAATATTAACGAGTGCGCTACTTTTCTGTAAACATGCATGGATACTGAGTCCATAAAGGCACGAACGACCGAATGTTTAGAGGCACTTTATCCCTACTAGTTTCAACGGTTTCTCGGGAAAATGGGCGAGTCGGGTGATGCTTTTCAGTCTGACTCCATAATGGGCATATGGAGGCTCTTAAAATCAAAAAAGTGTAACGTCAAATGGAGTAGCGTTTTCGGCCTGAATACCTATTTGTCTATGCTGCGGCCTTCCAGGCTCAAAACATTGACACTTTCGGTCTTAACGAACACCAAAGGATTGCCCTTGCCTCATTTGACTTACCATGAATAACTGCTGCTGCACATTCCTCCCTAAGTGTACAGAAAATCTCTCCCAAACCATGGAAACGATTCAGAATTCAGATTTCGAATCTCAGTAATTATACTGCATTTTCACTACGTCAGTAATAAAAAAAACTAGAAAAGGAGTACATTATTCATTAATTAAGGGACATTTTACCTGAGCAATCTTGAAAATAGCACTGGGTTTCATATTGCATATGAATCCGAGATAATGCCAGCCAGCATCCTGACCTTCAGGTGATGGCCATCGAACATATACTACAAATTGTTGGATAATTTGGGCTTCAACACAGGAAAAGAGCAAAATGTTTCAAGTTTCTCAGAAAACGAGCAGTATAGTTAGTCACGGACTAGCCTACGGGAGTCGTTGTCAGGAAAAACCTCTACAGGCTTAATCATTTCTCTTGAAATTGTTGCTTCACCTACGGGGGTTGGGTTATTTAGTGGGGTCCTATTCTTCGAGTACAATCAAGCTCTATGAGCAATCATGCTCTGAGAAAAGTCAGTGATAGAGGAGCTAAACGGTAGCTTGACATGCATCGGGAAAAAGATTACCTAAATAAAGCGACCAGTTACCAAGGAGTTTAATAGCAACTAGCTATCAGTCCCGCCACAAGTCACAGCACTTAATAAATTGTAATAGCAGAGGGAACAGGATGGGCACATGCCATTAGGAAATGTCAGAAGCAGGAAATGAGGCTCATTAGGCAACCAAGCCACATGTCTTAGCCACCTATAGGTAATAAGTGCACTCATTACAAATCAAGTCACATATACGGTCATAGAACACATAATAACCACAAGCACACTTCCGTACCTGATCCACCCAGTCCGTCTGGGAATGGATGCACACCAGTGATGAAAACTACGACGTGGTTAACATTCGATGCATTTCCTATCTCGCATAAAAACTCCCTCTCGCCAGCTTGAACAAATTGTGAGGGCTGAACATGCTAATGTAGTAGATTCGCTTTCTTTGCGAGCATTTTAGCACTATTCTTACCGCTCGTCCTGCAGCTATTACGCCGAACACTTCACCCATAGGAGGCCTGAACAGTGTACTACCGTCAAATTCTCCCAATGTTTAAAAGAAAAGTCGATAAATCTCTATGACGTCTAATATCCCACCTTAATACAAAACAATGACAACAATTTATTGACACATTAATTATTACTCCAACACAATCCAAAACAAACAACTGTAGTAGATAGAGGCCACGCCTCAAAAGGAGTAAAAGGAGAGAAACAACGGAATAATTTATTCCAACTATACATGGAAAACTAGAAGACTTCTTGGAACCATTAGCATATAACGTAGGAAATAAGAGAGAAGAACGAGCAGAAGATCGTACACTTTGAAGGAGACCGCAACACGTTTACAAACAAATGTGGCAAATGAGATCTGACTAATATCTGCCGCCACCTTGAGCGTTTGCCCATTGCTGTTGACCGGACGGCTGACCAGCCCATCCACCGGTTTGCTGTCCCCAGCCTCCACCTTGACCTCCCCAGCCTCCGCCTGCTTGCTGGCCCCATCCGGCCTGATCTCCCCATCCTTGTTGCGCTCCATATCCTCCATAACTTTGCTGACCATAGCCTCCTCCTGGAGGTCCGCCATAACCTGCAGTTGTAGCTTTTGCGGCTGTGGCACCTTTGAATGGGAAGGATCTAGTTACTAGCAGAAACAAAGGAGAAAGCGGAAAGGTAGAACTCAGTCGTCATCATCAACTGAACTCACCGTACCCACCCTGTGCTCCGTAACCCCCACGGGTTTGTCCACCCCAACCTCCTGGCCCACCTCCGCGAGCATCTCCACGAGAGCGACCCATGCGGTCGACGCGATCACGAGTGTTTTGGGCCTAAACGTAATTTATGCAATGTTTTCGTCGCATATGAAACAGTTCTCAACGAACTGTAAAACGAACTACTTTATTCATTTCTTCTTTAGAGAGCCCTTTCTTCACATCGCATCTGAAACCATTTATCATGTGGCTACGCAGGAGAACACACTGGTCCACTGGGTCGTAGTCGTCGAATGTGACGAAGCCAAATCCACGAGGCTTGTTGGTGACTTTATCCAGAATAATTTCCGACTGAAAACAAGCATTTCTCCGTGCGTCCGTCGACTCATAGAAAGAGGGCTTTTACCTTCACGACATTTCCGTATTTCCCAAAGTATTCGGTGAACATCTCTTCAGTATGATCTTCACGAACGCCGCTCACGTACAAACGCTTAGTGGACACGTTTGACTCGTTACGGTTCTTGTCGTCCCTGGGTACAGCTCGTTTAGGATCCACCGTTTTGCCGTCAATAACGTGGGGTCGAGCAGCCATAGCAGCATCAACCTAAACGATAACGCTCAAATCAAAACAGATGAAAACATATTTAGACGACGAATACGTACATTAGCTTTAGAAGCAAAAGTCACGAAGCCGAATCCTCTTGACCGCTTCGTGTTGGGATCACGCATAACGATGATATCGGTCAACTCCCCAAACTGCTGGTAGAACTCGCGCATAACTTCATCCGTGGTATTTCCAGTGAGACCTCCGACGAAAATCTTACGGAAGTTCTCCGGCTCAGTCTCCGTAGTAGTAGCGGTTCCATTCTGAAATATTTACCTATGCAAATGTGCTGAAACGATTTCGCAATAACCTACCAACGATCAGGGTCCAGCTGCGAGAAAAATAATGTAAATCAAATAACTCAAATAAACCTTACATGTCCTTCCTCAGCCATAGCGTCAGTCAGTCTTAAGAACTCCTAGAGTTACTTCTTAATCGAACAGGATTCAACTAGCTTAGCTTACTTAGCTGGCTAGGTACGTATAGTAATGAAGAATTGATGATAATCACTACCAGATCGACTACCTAAATTTATTGACGAAATTAGTTAAGTACGTCGTAGGTGTCTAGACACGTGTCATTAGCCCAAAATACTGCATGTACGTCACTTACTTAGAGCAATCTGAAACGAACACTTATACCAGTAGGACCCAAAGAATTAAAACTAACTATACTAATCACAGGACTTCAAGAAGAAAAGAGAACAGGTCAATCGTAAGTGTGAGCTCACCTCAGAGGCAATACGAAAACACCCCGACGACCGCTACGCAGGCAAACGCAAGTGATTATGTGGCGTCACGTAGGGGGCGTGGCAACGTGGAATGGCCAATCGCGCGGTGGGACCGCCTCTGCACTCTCGATTCGGCGGCGATTTCAAAAGGGGGTATTCTCATAGGTGTACCAAAACAACTATCTTGCTTTGAGGGTCACGTTTTCAGCCATAAAAGGTGGACGCATACTATTTTAAGTCATATTTCCGTGTAAAGCTTCTACAAACTCAAGCTGATGAAGAATTTCAAAGAAGTTGGGTGTCAAGTAAGTTGGTTTAGCGGCTGCAGTTGNTAGCGGCTGCAGTTGTTGTTGATAGCGATAGTATTGCTCTGTTGGGTTTGGATGGGAACTTGACTGACGTACTTGGGCCTTCTCCCATCTACTCACCGTTAAGTAAGCCATGCATTTGGGGAACCTAGTACCAAATGGTCATAGCACAGAGAAAGCCCATTTTAAGCGTTTTTTATAAATTCCTCGAACCAAGAAGAGAAGAAATACTGTTTCTAAAATTTAAAATTTAAACAACACTGCTACATGTACCAGAAAAGATTTGGATCAAAGAATGAAGAAAGGAAGAAGGTAGACGAGATACAATGGTAAGGCTATCATGAGGTTGCCCGAAGAAGTGCCACGTGGGAGTGATTTTCCCGCGTAGGGCGTGCGTGACGTGGATGACTTGTAAAAAGCGAGCAAATTCGTGGGTTAACTTGTAAAACTCGTGAAGGGGTGTGCGACGGTAGTCAGAAATAACATTCCCATGTCCCGTGGGAAAATACGGCCTTGGTCTTCGGGGTTATCGTAGCGCTATTATGAGGAGCTATGGTCCAAAATCTCGTGGGAAATCTTCCATTATCTATATCCACATGGGGATGTCATTGTAGGCAACAGTGATTGCATATGTTTTAACCCCTCTTTTACAAAAAAGAAATACAGTTTCATATTGACCATAAAATGCTCACTACCTGGCCTATAGATACGAATCGCTCTGGAAGACCTGAGAAAAAAGGTGGACACCCTTTGTGATGGATGTTTGAAGTAATTGGAAACATTCGTGGGTAACTAGTTGTCAACCTAATGCCCAATGCTACAGAATGGCATTTTGTAGGGTTCTATCCGAAGGTTTCGATCCGGGCCGTGATGAAAATGTAGTTGGGAGTGTGGTGCAGTAGGAACGAAATTGTCGCGTCGCGGCGAGAGAAACGTCGCGAGCGAAGGAATGCAGCACAATGCAGTA